ATCGGTTATATTTATCAAAACAAATTATATATGATCTGTTTGAGATCAACGAAAGTGAACATACCTATAACTCTAGAGCAATACGCACCCTAAAAACGGACATCCCAAAATATACCTATATCCAAAAAAATGTAGAATATTCTATTTAAAAGATTTGGAATAAGATGCTTTCTGCACTATAAAAACTTTCAAAATCAGACCACTAAAATTAAAACTAGTCATTCCTGTGTGATAAAGCATATTACAATTTAGACGAATTCTTCTGTGATCCAATAATTTATATAAAATACCTATTATTAAAAACAAAAATGTTTATTATACAAAAAATGTGTTTAATGAGTATTTATGTATAAAAGGTATATTTATCTACTATGACATGCTTTACACCTCTAAAGGTATTTTTAGAGTAAATAAAGATGTCTTTCTTTCCTATAACAATTCGAAGAATTTTCTTATCCAATCCCCGCCCAGGTGCTTCGACTATGCCTAAAATCTAATCAGCTTATCACAGGATGGATAAAAGCTAATTTAATTTTTTTTTCTTTATCCCTTTTTGAGTTATCGTAGATATTAATAAACACAGACATCATTGCAAAAATGGTCAAAAGGGATTCAGGGAACCCCAAAACGTCGAAAAAAAAATTATTCCTATATACTGTCCTTATAGTGGCAACAGGAAAGTAAAAATCCTAGGTACAGGCGTATTCAACAAGTTTTTAATTTATCATCCTTTTATGGAGTTAATTAACATGATCAACTTCCACGTTCCTAGGCTAAACTCCAGAAACTTACATATATTTCACATTCCGCCTCATAGGACAAATATATATAAATCATCACCTCTTAATCAAGCTGTGTCAAATTATTGTCTTTTAGAACCGAATCTGGACATATTTCACAGTTGTAGCGGTTCAGTTAAATGTTTATGCTCATAGTTCATCCCTTTTGTCTCTTTTTTTGCTGTTATTGTCTTTATCTCCCAATTACTTGTATGGCTTAAAAGTTTGTCTGCTACAAATGCACCTTTTGTTTTTTGTTCTTCGTTTTTTGTCATTTGTGTGTTCGAGAAGACATTCTTTTAACGAACAAATTGTTATTTATTATTGTAAAATATATTTTCTGTTTGTTATCCCTTGTCCTGTAATTGGGGTTAGCCCCGTGGACATTGTATAATAAATAAATAAATAAATAATAAATATCTACCACCACTCTGGTGTAATTTTAACAAATTATCGCTTAATGTTACTGGGAAGAGTTTTCCTTTTAATTTGAAACAAGCTTGTGATTTATGATTACTATAATAAAAAATATTGTTGTCGTTGTGGCCTGTAGGAGCAGATATTTATTGTAGGTCGTGTAATATAGAAGCTGTCTTATTTTTTGCACGCTTGGACTTTTAAGTGTGATGTTTCTCTGCTTTATTTATGAGGTGCGACTCAGTATTGAACATTCTATCTTTCTGAATTAGAGTGGTTCAAAGCCCACGTGTACTAAACTTCTAGGCTTATTGTACCCCTCTCAGCTTCTACCTAATCAGGTAATAAACCTGACAGGCGCTTTCGCGATATCTTTGAATTCCGAATGTTATAACCTGAAGTTCCTTTCCCGTTGCCGTTTAAGGTTCCGGCAATTGCACAGCATTTGAATAGGAGCTTGTTCCTCTTCACATATTCTACATAGAGAATCGTCAGATATCTCTAAGAGATTTAGGCAGTGTCCCGTGAAGAGTTCAATCCTGTTAAGGTTTTGATTTAGTCTCTATGAATATTCTAGACTGCCTGTTCAGGAAGTTTCAACCAAAACTTATTTATGGTGTTCTCTATTCACATGTGTGTTCTGGTCTGTTTCCTTTCGGGCTAGGAGGTCTGATTTCTCCTCCCTCATGTTCTGGTACCGGCTCTCATTCAAGAGTATCCTCGTTATGTTGTCAGGAACTGTTGGCAGTCCATTTTATAATTTGGATTGTATATCTATCCTTTTCAGTGCTTTATAACGTCTGTATTGGTTCTAATGATGCCGGACGCTTATAGCAAATAAAATCTCAGGCACGACGTAAAGAATGAAATAATATCCGATGAGGATGTGAATTTAGTGAAGTTTATTTATTCCGAGCGATAATGACTCCAGTAGTAGTGGTAATTCCGAGATAGTCGTTTCACTTCTCCAAAAACGATTGAAGGTATGTAGTTCCGAGCTAGTCTTGAGCTAGTGGACTAATAGTGTAGAATAAAAGTCATTGACGATACAATGAACAAGTATTAGAAATTAAAAAAAACCTCTTCAAAAACGTGCAGATGCCATCATCACATCTTAACCAAATTTATATGGGACCACCCCTGAGGTACCCCTTACTAGCAAGAAAAAAATCATATAAATCGGACAAGGAGGTGAGGCATTATCGCTAAACAAACATAAAAAAATGAAGAGTTTGAGGATTTTCTCATGGACCCAATTATTAGATTTTGAACAAATTTATATGGGACCACCCCTGAAGTACCCCCTTTCCAACAAAAAAAGAATTATTGAAATCGGACACCGTGTTAAAGAATTATCGCTGTACATAAAAAAAAATATCGCGATGAGAACCTCCTCCTTTTTTGAAGTCTGTTAAAAAGTATGCCATAAAGGTGATTAACAACAAAGTGATAATTATTGATGTTACTGATCTGCCAAAACTGAAGTGGAATCCCGTTACGGTGACATCAATGGAACAGTAACACTACACCTTCCTGTCGGCGATATGGTATTCACTGGTGAATATTTTCTCCACCAGCTATTTAGCAGGACTGAATTACACTCGACATGTGAATAAGGATGAAGTAAACTAGGTAAATAAGGTGGTATAATTGACACTGCTGGACACTGCACCAACAGCGAACGAAATAATCTAATATGTGGATTTTACTTAAATTCAAAAAAATTTAAAAACCATTAATTATGTACCGATAGATCTAAATAAGCGTGTGCTTTTACCGAAAATGACGAAAAACTACTAGACTAATTCATTCATAATTAACCCTTATTTACTTGCAAGTATTTATCTCGTGGTTTATGTAAGGTAGGCAGAGCTGTCCATTAGAAAGAGCAAGACTTCTACTAAATTAAGTGGGGCTAGTTTGTATGAGCAGACATTTTATGAATAAACCAGCTCCTACAACTCTGATTCCTGCTTAGCACCTTTGCCATACTGCAAAATAAATGGTGTGATTTCCTGTAAATCATCTACAATAATAAATTTCAACCAGAATGACATTAAATTGATAATAACTAACATTAAAAATGCAAATATACTTCCTTAATTGAAAGCCTTTTGTGCGTTTTAAAGCCTTATGTTAAGCATAACTACTGAAAAAAAAATCTAAGGAGTGCCGTTCCCGTTTAAGGTTCCGGCAATGACATAGTATATGAATAGGAGTTTCATCCTCCTCTTCACATATAGCAAGTCATCAGATATTCCTAAGAGATTTAGGTGTCTTTCAAGGCCACAGTGTCTCATAAAATGAGTCCTATTACAGTCTTTAGTTTGTTCCTGCTAAGGTTTAGCAGTTGATTTTGTCTACTTTTGGATGGGCCCTTTATAAATATTCTGAACTGTCAGAGTCCAAGAAGCTCCAACCAGAGCTTACGGTGTTATCTATTTATGTCCCAGTAGCACCCCTTTAACATGTTGATATGAAATTCCACATGTGGGTTCTGGTCCAGTTAATTTTCTCAGCTCCCTTTGTCTACTTTATTGTTACCGATGAGATAAAATTAAGAATGAAATAATGAGAAAAATGGAAGTGACAGTGCGGAAATTATGTGAAAATTATATTAATAATTTCTTCATGCCTAAAATGGCTATATTTGGAGAAACACGAAGAATAACATGAACAGAAAAGGAAGAGGTCTATTAAGATATGATTTTGTATTAGTAATAATAGTTACATTTCATGTTTTATTTATTTTACTTTCAAAATCTTAAATAATGTCAAGAAATATAAACTGATTTGAGACCCACCACATTTCACATTTTGTAGACTATTTTATTTCTGCCTTAGGTTCTTTGAATGTATAAGATATGGTAGGAATTAGTCTGATATGAAGTAATGACATCAATACTAATTAATTAAGGATATATCTGTACAATTTCATGGGGACTACTTCACACTAATTTTGATTCACAAAAGTTCATATTATTAGTATTAATAACAAAAGCATACTTTTCTATTAAAATAAGAAAACAAAGCCATATTAAAATAAACAACAAATTATTTTGAGGAAATTTAAATAAATCAAATTTAACTGAATATAGAAGCATCAAAATGTTTGAAATGTTGAAATTATTCAACTATTCAATTAAAAAAAAAAATAATTCATATTAAAAACAAATATTTATATTGTCATGTAAAACATTAGGCTTTATTACATTTATTCAATTTCATCCAGTCTTCCAGACTACTGCAGTTATATGAAAGTAAATCAGTTGTGTATGAATTTTAAGTAAAGTTTAAATGCAGTATGAAGTAATAACATTGACTCACTTTTAAATATGAATTGAAAATGTAATCAATTGATTGGCATCTATAAAATAAACAATCATGCTAGTTTTACATAAAAAAAGGGTTCCTAGTGTAAATTACTCATACTTTTTTGTGACTGGCTATACAAAATATGAAATTTGCCTACTTTGGAGTATATATAATAAACTCTTTAATATTTTAGATACAATATACAATAAAAATTTATATTACACCAAATTAAAGACCTCAAAAATATGAGACTTCACTTTATAAATGAATTTTATTGGATTCAAGCCAATACATCCTTTTATTTTTCTTAAAGATTCAATTATATTATAAAAATCAGAATACTAAATTTTAGCAGTTCATGACGTTTCTTTCTGCTGACAAACTTTATAAACAAAAAATAGCTAATAATGGAAGACATTTAACTCCACTCATTTGAAAAATGGATTATGGCTTTGTTTAAACATTAACAAAATAAACATTTCTTTAATTTCAATAGTCCAAAGCCCACTCATTTTCACCCAAAAAAGCATCAACAACCTCTTTCATTGCAAAATTCGGAATCAGCTGATCTTGAGTTAATTTTACTCTAGTGACGGGATCAAAATGTCCAACTCTTTGAAGATGTTCTTCCAAGTCTTTTTTATCATATGTGATACCACTAGGTGTTATAACAGGTTCTTGGAGAATTTCAAAACTAATTTTTCCACAAAGATAATCAGGTACTTCCCGTTTTCTTCGTCTATCATCTACCTTCATAAAAAGCTGATTTAACTCATTTAAATAGTTTTCACACTTTTCATTGATATCTTGCATTCTTTCCCGAGTATTTTCATTGTCTCCTTCTCTAGTTTTGATAAAACTGATCTTTTCTTCCTTATCCTTTTCTATAAGCTTATTTAAATAAGAGTGCAGTTCTATTTCTTGGGCAATTCTTTTTTCTTCTTGAATTGAAAATCTTTTCTTTCTAGCTGCTCTTAGTTGGGCAGCTATGTCATCACCAAAATTTAGTTTTTGTTCTTTAGCTAAGTCATTTGCTCTTTGTAGATGTTTAATTGACTCATCATAATTATCAGTTTCTAAAAGAGCTTGTCCCAGAAAAAAGTGTCCTTTAACCAAATTTGAATCCATATCCAGGGCACGGCGACAGTCCGTACAGGCTTGTTCCCATTTTAGTAACTTTAGATAACACAGGGCTCTGTTTGTGAAATAATGAGCAATATCTGGATTTTTGATGATTGCTTTACTATAACAATTTATAGCTTCGTCATATTTTCTTAAATTAAAGAGACGATTGCCTTGTTCTTTCAGTTCCTTATCTGATAAATTTGCTGTAGAATACATGTGTTTACTCATCTTCATTTGGCTGTTAAAAATAAAAACTTTTTTGGTTTGACATTTATAACCTAGAATTTTCTATTGTCCTCAAAACAAAATATTTCCATTTTTTATTCAAACAGCCTCAATATTTAAAATCAAGATTTTGTAACTTTATCAGAACCAACCAAAATTTTATTGCAAAAGCAGTAAACGCATTTAATTATCTTTTTTTGGTAATAATAAACGAACGTAAACAGTAAACTCACAGAACACTTACTGAGTAAACTGTTCAGATTCTGAAGGTTCTTTCGTTCGCTGTTGGTGCAATGCACAGAACAATTACAATGTGCACCACAGGAACGCGTTCAGATGACCACAAAGAACGTATCCTCAAATAGACTGATGGCGATTTTCCATTAAACGGACAAAACAAGAACAAAACACAAACTCGTGTCGAAAAAACAAATCTGAAACTTTTTGAAGACTGGCGTGTATTGGGACAGTTGGAGTTTTGTTTCTCGAGTCCCGCTCGGAAGCGCTAACAT